ATCCAATATTTTTCACGGTAATTCAACTTATTCAATAACAACTCATCCCAGTTTATTCACAGTGGTAATAAAGGCTGTACACGAATGGCATATTAATGATCAACACGTTACACTGACATTTCAAATTCTTACTTTCACTTCCAACTTAACGGTCAGTGATTCTGACCTCTAGACCTTATTGTCTGATTTATTGTACAAAGTTTTGGAGTTGTGCGACCAAATTTGTTTTTCTTTCAAATGCGATTGTACTTGCATCTCATCCCGTACTATTCACAGTTGCACCAAACACAATAAGACAAATTTTCAGGTCTGATTATTGCACGGGTTTTCCGTAGGCTCGATTCGCGATATCACCCAACAATATCGACCAGCTTTCCTCTTCCTAAGCGGGATGCAGTTTATTGGCGCGTTGACTGCTTTGATGGCCGTAACAAATGTGCATCGTAGCACTTGCGGGGCGGAAAGAAGCGATGTCAAAGATGCGCTATTGGAACAATCACAAAACAATCAGTCTGAACTTCGAGATCCAGGAGATCCGGTGATCCCGATCCCTCAGGAATCCGGTCACGATAAAATGAATCAACCGGGTTTCATTGCAGTGCAGTTGCCGGATTGCGATTCACCCACCCGTATCCTGGATCCGAAGCTTTCATCCCCGGAACGAAATAGCCTGATTTCGAAGTAGCGGAAGGTAATCTCACACGGTATGTGCCGAAATATTTTGTAATCAGTTGAAGTGAAGATTCGTTAATAGCACAATTAAACTTGCGTTCCCGTTATTATAATGCCTTACTGCTGCTCTTGTTGTGACGTTTTCTTTTGAAAGAAAGCTGGCTAATAAAAACTCTAGTAAGAAAACCACCTTGGTGTGATGGTTGTGTGTTAAAGTGTATTGGTGATGAAATACTTCTATCCAGATGGTAATCGTGCAACAACCCCATAAGCAGAACAGTTGACGTCAACCATCNTAATTTGGACGGGAAGGCATTGCTACTTCGCTTGATACACATGCACGCAGAACATGGATATATACCCGGTCGGTTTGTTGATCCGTTAACAAGACAGAGTCAAATAGGGGAAAATCCATATGCCTGGTGGAAATGTCACATACAAATAGAAGTTCACCAAACGATGAAGACTTCCAGTCTATAGAATGATGCATGCCAAATTCCAGCCATAGCAGTGATAGGACTCTTCTTCCTGCCAGACGACGGCGTTTGGTTCCCCGAATTATTATTGTCCATTGAGGTAGTCCAGGTTAATCGGATATTTACTAGTTTCGAAATATCGGCTGTTCTTAGAGGCTTCACACCAAAGGTTTATCTGAACGAGCGTTTGCATTATATTATTATTATTGTTTTTATCATTATAAACACACATGCTGTAGTTTTCTGTCAAACTATTCTCCAAAAATATTTGATTTGCATTTCTGGGGAAATCACCATGGACATGCTTTTCTAAAGCATTCCATTTATGAATGAATGCTATCATCGGACATTCATTTTTGATTTTTATGGGCCAAAGAATGATCAAACTAAACACACAACGTTCTTTTTTCCCACAAACGTTTACTCTCTCAACAATGAGACAGCTGAATTCAGCTTTTTACTTTTACAAGCGTCAATCTGCTCATCAACAATGTGCGTCATATTAATTTTCCAATGTACCCATGACCAAATAAATTGAAAAATTTGCAATTTAACCAACTTACCCCAACGTGGAGGCTGCTTATATCTATCAAGCAATCAATCAATCACTCACTCACTAAATCAATCAATCGAATGCATGTCAAAGAAGCTAAGGTACAATTATCTTTATAAAAGGAAATCGGTGCATGACTTTCTCATTTACTAAATACTGCCTGGTTGCCCCGATCTGAATTTTCTTGAGGGGATTAACAACTTGAGCCTTTGGTTAGTCAAAGCCCGGCCAGTAAGGCAGCGAATCAGTGTGTGGAAGCCTTCATCCATAGTGGTTGGTGTCCAGACAACCGGATCATAAATCCGTTGGATGGGATCAAACGTCTAGAAAGCAAAACCACATAGGGCGTGGTTCATACACCTCTCTCTGGTTGGCCTGGGATCAGTGTTTTAGCCAACGCCCCTAGGCAAACTGTCAATGGTTTATCGGCCTGATTACAGCCCGGACTATATTCTTTTTGTCCTCTCACTTTAGTGGGACAACACCTCGACTGCTTAAAGGCAGCTAGAAGTGCTTCTCATCAGAGGTTATTTGAGACGTTCCGTCATATAGGACTGTTGCTCGAGATGCAACGGAAGGGTGGCTAGTCAAAATTCAAGATCCAATCCGCAATCAAAACCAATGAACTGGTACTGTTTATCCGATCAAAAACAAGTGGAAACCATCTCATTGTCTATTTTTTTATCCCTGTGTACGCGGCTTTGAAAGCCTCACTGTGGTCGGGGGTGGGTGTCTTAGGTTGCAGCTGGTCACCCCCCCCCTTTGTACCTCGCGAAATGCTCCTATCAGGCTAAGCATCTGAAATAGCTTCTGCTTAGGAAGTCATACTCACTGTCGTTATCACGACGGAGATGTTTCACCACCAAAGTAAGAGGCTGAAGAGCTAACATCCGGCGATTTAGCCGGGTTGGTGAACCACCGATAGTTCATCTAGGGAAGTTGATCCAAAATCCTGAACCCAAATCATCTAGGAGGAGGCATACGAACTGCACACCTACCTTTCTGGTTTTGGCGCTGGTCACCGTCCCAATTGGGCATCAAGATGTGGGCGACTT